AAAAAATTATAATAGAACACTTATCACCTCGTCATCAGCCATAACTGTTGCTGGAGAACTGTCTAGACTAAAATCAAGATTCAAATCTGCATCAAAATTATGATTCTTTGTTTTTGTAGCCTAAAAAAAGCAACAAACTAAAATACACTAAAATTTGTTATTAAAAAAGATTAAAGCAATTTTTTATGCCAACTGAAAATTCAGTATTTGTCTCTCAAGTTTGATAAATCAAGATCTGTACTATGCAGCTGTTAGCATTCAGAAGTCTAATCAACACAACGCTAAAGGTGGTTCAAGAAAGCATTATAAAGTTGCCAACATACCTGTCGATCCACTTGACTTTTTGGTCTGATAATTGGAACTAAAACTTGTGCAGGCGCAATTTCGATGCTTAATGATGTATAATTTTTCATCGAAACATCGTCATTGTCCTATAAATAAATAAGTAATCATTAAACTGTAACAGTTCCAATACGTAATGCTGTTATTGTCTGCCGATTAAACAATACGCATGAATCTTTTACTAGATTATAAGAAAAAAAAAAAAACAAAAACTGCAGAACTTACCGTGGCCGAAATATTTAAAACTATTGTATGTCCTTTTAAAATTGGATCCAACGGTCTTAACAGAACAATTTTCATTATTTTTGGAGTCTGTTCCGCTGATATTTTTTTGGCTAGATCACCTGGAAGTTGTTCAGATGCCGGTACCGATTGTGTTTTGTTAAACACAGCAAAAAATTTCTCTTCATTTCCTCCCTAAAAGCATTTTTTAGCCAAAGATTTAATGAATTTTCTAAAGTTTGTTTATATTCAATAAAAACATTTTTAATCATGCGAAAATTTGTGAAATATTTTAGTTTTTTGTATAATTCTGACACAAGACAAAAAGTTTTTTGTCATTTATGTAGGTGGATAATTTTAGATTAGAACAAACTTCAATTTGGTATGTGACTCTGTAACGATCACTCGGATCCCAATCAATAGCCAAAACTGGTGTACGGATAATACTTCCAGGAGATATATCCTAAAATAAAAATATCGTGTTATGAATGTTCGGTTTTTCTTCCCCTTTTTTTTGAACTTTACTCTTGAAACCTCAATGTACCACATTTATGATTAACAACACTGTACTTAACAGTCCGAGATTACTGCCAAGAACAACGGCAATAGTAAAGATGTCTGAAAAGCACAAGAATAAATTAAATTGTAATTATTGAAAGTCGACAAACAGTGAAGTGTTTGTCAGTTTGTCGCGCTAACTTACCTGAGTTAACGTAATTTTATACGGTAATCGACCGTAAAACTGTGGTGCATACTGATTTTGATGTACAATACGTATAGTTATCAGTGGATAAAGCTGTTGATTACAGGAAATTGTTAGATATACATAGGCCTCTGAGATGTTTGATGGATACTGAGGTAGATAAAGAGGTTTTGCTGTCGAAATTAAAATATGTGAACCCGTTTTGTGTAAAACAAATGAATTTTCGTAATTAGTCTAAAATATATTTTAAATTTTAAAATATATTTTAACTGATTTATAGATCAGTAGTCTAATAGCAATATTTGATAAGTTTTCATTTTTTCTTGAGGTTAACCAATGACTTTTTTCGCTCCAAACCTTTGTTCCAGTAACATCATTTCTGTACAATTTTCCTTTGCAGCTTTTTTCTGTTTTAACTGGTAGAAAAAAAACTGAATAATTATTTATGCAAAAAAAAAAGAAAGGTTAGAAAAAAGAAAAGTAACAGCTAACGTTTGGTAAGTTGCTAAATTTAACAGATGCAATTGCAGTCTGAGCATCAGATGGCTCAACGACTGTATCCACTACAATTGTTTCACTAGGTGTACTGCTACCAACTTCAAAATAAAGTGGTCTTATTTCCGACTCCGGAAAATAGCAACCTGTAACAGGATGTAAAAAGTACAGCAAAAGAAGCTATTTATTAGTGTTCAATAAAAAATTTTCTGACTTAAACTGATTTAGAAAAGCAGACAAAGTTTTTTTACAGGTACAGATAATTGCTGTCAATATTACTTATTCCAAATTGTTTATAAATTATTATTAAAATCCTATTCAAGTGAAAAAACAAAAAAAAAATTATTCTTCTGCTTCTTAAAAATTAAAAAATAACAACAAACCTTCTTTGGTGACATTTACAGATGCTGTCGTTACAGAAAAAATGCAAAAAAGCAGTAATAGAGCAAACAGGTTCAAAATTTTACAATTTTGGTTCAATTTTGCAGAACCAAAAATAGCGTTCATTGATATTCTGTTGTTTGAAAGCCTATGTTGTCAACATTGAAAAGTCTGTAAGTGGATTAAATGATACGTTGTCATTACCTCAAAAAATTCGCTAAACGATTGAAACTTTTGTTTTTTTTTTTTTTTTCCAGTGAACTGCCCACAACAGCAACGACAATAGGCAATTCAAATAAATGACTAAGAGTACAGATAAAAACTCGAAAATGCTTATAAATGCGAAAGTCATAGCCAAAATCACCTACGACAACCAAATATCAACAAACGATAATTGGAAAGCAGAACAGTGACACTGTAATGTTTATTGAAACACAAGAAAATTATGCACTTATTAACTTAGCAGTAGGAAAAAAAACAAAAAAGCGAAATAATCTTTATACTAATAGCCAAAAAAATAAAAATGTCATCAACAATAATCAAAATATTTTGCAAAAGCAATTTTTTTGCACTATTCTAATAGAATTAATTTTCTTTTTGCCTATTTCAATTTTCCTTTTTTTTTTTTTTTTTTT